TACTTTCAAAGGTATTTATTTCAATTTGCATCATGTTCTGTGTTAAGCATTCTGGTGCTTCATAATGAGGTTTTATATAATATTACAAAGACAAAAGTTATTAATCTTTTGAGAAGTATTAAGTTTAAAATATTGAATTTTAAAATGCGAATTATGTTTCAAAAAGTGGTACAATATTTATTCATGTTTGAATTTTCTGGAAAACATTTTTGAAATCCATCTTCATACCTTTTAAGCATGTGATGAAAGTAGTCCGGATGACGGATGGAAAGTCTTTGGTGACTATTGTTATTATCTGGGTAATGATGAAATGCTAACCTGGCATGACGCAAATGCAAACTGTTTAAGCAAAGGCAGTAATTTAGCCAGCGTTCATTCTGAAGAGGAAAATCGTTTCTTACTGAGCATGGTTTGTATATGAATTATTGATTAATCATTAATCTTAACAAGTCGGGCCTTCTCGTCATCCACAAGAAATCGCTGTCGGTATCTTTCGGCAGTTTTCTTATTTAAGTATATTTAATATACTTTTATAACGAGAGATAGTGTTTGTGTGTTTTTGACTGTGACGTTATTATTTAATAGATATAAAACCAATAATAATGGCGACCGGCTTACTTCCTAATAAGGGTTTGTAAACTATTTTTCAAAATAATTTATAATCTATGTATTTTTAGGCGAAAGAAGTCTACATAAAAGACGAAAGTTTTTGTTTTCTTTCACTGTCAATTCTTCTTCAGCTAGTTCTAGAGAGCATGCGTATAAAAATTAGTCTTCGTTCACCAAACGAACAAACAAACAAACAATCAAACAAAAATTGAATTTACGTATTATGTGAATTTTGTACATTCTCATCTAAACAAGTATATCTTGTTGTAGGTTGCACACGAAAGTGATGTGTGTTGGATTGGTTTTAATGACCTAGATCTCGACAATAGATTTAGGTAAGCTACATATTCAAATAACAAGCTACCTTCCTGACCTGATCAATTGTAATTAGTAAAATTAAATTATTCCAAAAACATTTACTATTTTTGTATAAGTAGGATAAATAGGATAAAAATTCCAATGTTGCTTCAATATTGCTCATTGTTGGTTTAAGTTTCTTTCTTATAAAGTCACTAACTTTGGGTGTATTTGAAAAGATGAATAGAATTAAATATAATCAAAATTAAATCATAATTTCATGATCATTTCACATTTATTACACAAACTCCCAACTATGATATACAAATATTGACAATTAGAAAAATAACCAAACTATACTACTCATACATGTACGTGCAGTAAATTATGACAAAAAGTGATTGTTAGTTTGCTGTTTTAGGTCTGCCAGGCAGTAACATTGCTAGCTGTGCCCACAACAATTTATTCAATTAACATGTCTTCTTAAATGCAAAGCAAGGCAAAACTGTAACGCAAATCCAGGAGTATTAAAATTGCCTTACTTTTCAAAAGACTGTGGTACAACCATATTACAAATCGGTCGAAAACAGTAAACATAAAACTGAAACATATACTATATTACATTAATAATTAATTGTTACTTATCTACCAAACGGCAAACTAAAAATATCTATACGTTTAATGAGGTAAGCAAAATTAATATTAGTTTGGATAAGAATAAAAGCTCCTACTTTAACTTTCAAGTGAAGTAATCTCTGAAACAAATGTTTAACATAAAGATATAACATTATTGTTTCTTTATTCAGTTGGAGCGATGAATCTGTTGTAGATTTTACATCTTGGGCAAGCGGGCAACCAAATGACATATATGGCGAGAAATGTGTTCCTATTGTCTTTGATGGTAATTTATCAATATAATTATTTTAGTTATCTGATGCCTTAAAATCATAAGAAGAGCATAGACAATTATTTTCATTTCATTGAGCAGTTTGAATACAAATCTCATTCTATTTGCAATATTTCTTGCACAAATTACTTATAATTACCTGACTAGGTAAACTTGTTTTCTAGGATCATGGCACGATTATCCATGTAACGACCGAAAACCGTATATTTGCATGAAAAGAAAAGATGCTGGTACCATGACGACAATGACACCAACAAAAGTAGTAATAAACGGAGGGTGTCCAGAAGGATTCAACCACACATTTGGTACATTTTTCAATAATCACAATAAAAATTGATAGTATCAAAGTAAAGAATTAACACAGAAAAAAACACGGAAAATACAGAACCTTCTTTGTGAGCTTTAAAAGATTCATTTTGAGCTAATAATAATGTCTGCAAATAAAAGAAACTCCACTACAGTCTAAAAGCCTAAATACATAATAATTGATTTTTTTTACATATATCAGCTAGGGCTCTTGTAACGGAAAGATATGCATAATATTATTAAAAATATACTCAGAAGTAAACTGAACATCGTATTTTTTAGCCATTCGTAGCTCAACTTGATCAAAAAGCGTTTCAACGCTTTTCAAATTAAATAATCATTATGGAAGAACGGAATTAGCTTGATCTGACATTTTGCACACAAGTTATTGGTCTAGATCTACATAAATCAAATGAATCATTAATCTCGAAAAATTATGTCCTGTCCTGTCATGTTAAGAAACCTTAGTTCAGTCCCTTTAAGTTTTAAATGTGTGATGGGGCTATCAGTTTACTTACATGTTGACTGAAACACACATATTTTACTAGAATTATGTTTCCTTGGTGTAAACGTTTGAAATACGTTATGTCTTTTGTCCATAATATATATTTTGATGTAGTGAATATCGCAACTATCATTAAATAAAAGATGCAGTTGTGGGGTTCCATTTTTTGCAATGCGTTTAAGTACGTGTAAAATTAACAAGGCATCAACTGCATCAATTTTCTTTATGTTTTCTATATTATTCACTTCTTTTTTATGCTTTAATTGATTTGTTTTATTGCAAATAGTAATTCAAGACTTAATTTATTTCGTACTCAAATTCTTACACATTCTATTTCTTATTTGCTTTACTTTTCAGGCAACAAATGTTTCTACTTCAATTATGATGACAAAACATACAGGGACCATGCAAAAGATCAATGCGAAACAATACGTGGGCATCTTCCAAGTATTCATTCTGAAAACGAAAAGGGTATGACTAGAGGATTAATTGACAACCTGTCGAAAGGCTGAATGAAAGCGGTTTGGCATTTTCCGTCCAGCTGTTCGTCCTACCTTCTGTCCAATATTCCGTCCTTCTGTCACACTTTAACGTTTACATGAAGCTAAATCGTTTCTGCTATTAACATAAACATATATATTTTTGACATCTGATAAATATATAAAGGAGAAATGCAGTACCTTAAGGAACCATGACATTTTTTTTGGCATAATTTAAGTTTGTTTTCTATGGAATTATACACCGGTTTTTTGAAAATGGCATATTTGGTAGTAATAGAGATATCAACTCATTAAGAATAATATCTCTTTTTCATGTATTGCCCTAGTGATCGTTATACTATTTTGATTGGAGCTTAGCTAACAAGAGAGTTATTTTGTCGCATAATGCGTCGCTCATAAACCCACTCTCACAGTAGTTAGCATTTATATTAAAATCTCATATTCATGATGACTTAAATCAACTAATCAGTTCTCATAAGAAATTAGAGCTCTGAATATGACATTGTTTCGACAAAATGAAATAACTTTTGCGCAGAGCACAATGCTTTACATAAATAGACTTTTGTGCCGAGTTATATGATATTTCAAATTTGTGCCCTTGACGATTGACCTTGAGGCTGATTTATGTGTGCATCACTGCGTCTCATAAAGTGAAGCTATATAATACAAACAGAAGATGAAATCCAGATACAATATTATCTTTACAGTGAATATTCTCTGCTTATCTTGACCTTGCATATATTGGCCTGAATAATGATGACAATACAACATCTCACGTTTTTTATACAAGTAGTTAAGCTCCGGACAAAACTGAATGCTGCCTTGATATTTTATGGTTTACCTTTTGTCATATGAGCCTTTATCACATACCTGTGTCAGTTTTTAAGACTCCGTAAAAATGGTATTGCACAACCGTGCAAATATTTTGACGCGACATCATTTGCGTCATATAAAATAGCGTTAAGACGCGCTAAATAGTAGCGTTATACTTTAGGCGTGCCAATGAAAAATGATTCTTTTTCACTCTAAACGGTCCTTTTTGGAAATGTGATAAATTGAATATTTAATTCGTGTAAGTTCATTACTGAATTTATTGAACTTGTTCAATAAAATAGTATTTTCCTCGCCGGTGTCTTGCATATTAATTCAACTTGTTCAATAAATTCAGTATTGAACCTACTCTCATTGAATATCCTATATTTATTGTACTGGCAAGACTAGTTACATGCTGGAGAACATCTTGATATAGTGTCTCGATTCATGCCTACTAAATAATCAACTCACGTATTTTCTTCTGAACTCTGACTTGTGTAACCTTGACTATTACACAGAGATCTCAATATTAAGGGCAAACACAATATCTATCTTTCACGGTGTCCTGTTAGGGCCATCGTGTCACACACAGAACTGGAAAAATTGAAAACACGAAATAAAGGCGATGACAAGTAAAATGAGCTAGCAAAGATGGTAACATGTCGGTACAATGACGAAAAGTTGAACATTCGATTGTAAAAATCGAACAAAAAACGAACCCACGAGGAGGACAACTTGATATAATGTCGTGTTTTCACTATTTACAAATTGAAGGTTGCAACTCTCCATACACATGGAGTTGTCATAATATTTCTACTTGTATATGTTATTTGAGGTCTCTGATGTACACATGTAACCACGCGATCACTTTCATGTTCTCACCTTTTAAAGCCGTCAATACCCCTTTTCTTTCTCATTTTCAGATTTTATAGCTTTGCACGTTAATGGAGTATCTACTTCAGTCTGGTTAGGAATGCAAGATTTAGATACTGACGGTCATTTTGATTGGACAGATAATTCTCCCCTGGACTATTCAAACTGGGCACCAAATGAACCATCAAGCAATCACTACGATGCCTACGCACATGTAATTTTATGTTTGTTTATTTTTAGTTTATTTTTTATTGATACGTTTGATTCTGTTTAAGTTTTCTGGAACACATCATAATGTCTATCAAATTTGAAAGTGGCCCCTTTTTAATTCAAATATATCATTAAAAGGTCAATTCCAGTCTGTAACACATCGAATCGCATTTTTGTTGCTTAAAATTCCCCGCTGGAAAATAAACGTTTCAAATTAAAGCGCACTTTTAAAAGTAATAAAACACGATTTCAAATTGTTAAAAACCAACAATAAAAACAACAACGAAAAATAGGATAAAGGTTTGTAATGTGGAAATAATATCATTGGCAGATGTTGAATTTTCTAGTTTAAATTAATTTATTCTTACATTTAAATTTATTCATTTTGTGACATTTTTTAATTGATAATTTTAAGAGACAGACTGAATGATTTTAGCAACAATATTACATATCATATCACAGATAATGTGTTTCAAAAAGTATAATATATTGTTTAAAAGGAGCCATGTGTTGAAATGTGGACAAATGGTGATAATCTTGGTTTATGGAATGACGTAAAATGCTCTGTTAGTAGAGGATTTTTGTGTTCAACATTTAAAGGTTTTCATCTCTTTTTTATATAAAGCATGTAATTGTTCAAAGATAATCAGTAAATTAAAAGAAATCGTTTTAAACATGTTGCCTAAGTCATGTAATATCATATCAAATTCTTCGTAATAAATGTTACTGGGCAACGTGCAAGAAGGCTCAAAATTCAGGGAATGGTGAAGGAAAATTAGTTGACAGTTTAATGTTTTATATCAAAATAGATTTAAAGAAGCGGCACGTACTTCCTGACAAAAATGTGTTGGTGAGGTCTGGTATAAGTTTAAACAAATAAAATGTGAACTCCTATTTCTTACATAATATTTGGAGGGTAATTTGAAAAGTATCTTGAAATAAATATCGATAAGATGTTAAAGGCTTATTTTTATAGATATATATATAAACCGACTGCGTATACAACATAACTGTAATTTGTTTATGTTTCAGACCCTTCAATACCAATTCTGAGTGTATGTCCTGACGGGTATGTTTTATTGAAACAGATATGCTATATGTTGATAACTGCAACACAGTCTTGGAACCAAAGTTTGCAGTCATGTTCAATTGATGGTGCCCAAATGATTTCAATTGCTAATCCAGTTGATTTCCTCGTGTTAAAGGTGTTGTTAGGCTCTGTCGACCTAACGACTGAAGTTTGGGTTGGAGGAACTTTAAACGACGTAAGCCTTTTCTTAATTAGTTTTCAAAGTTATTTTTATTGTTTATTCGTATCCAGCTACGATTCTTAAATTAACTTTCCATATTCAATTTAGGTTATCAAATAGTAAATTTGAAGTTGACCAGTCATCAGTATAAAGCTTGGTCAGAGTGTACGGATCTGCAGGCTGGTCTGATTATTTTTTGGTGACAAAAACTAATAATTTTCGGTTTTATGTAGAAAAAAATGCTAGTTTTTAAAATTCTTTTTCAGTATTCTTAATAAACTTTTAAAGAAAGCATACAAAAAAAACAACAAAATACGAGATCAATATGCTTTAGATTGTTGATAAATACTCGGATTATGTTTTCTCAAAACGCATCTCTTTTCATTCTTTGCTAATATTCTACAATTTACAGAACAATTTACAATGGAATGATGGATCGAGTCCAACTGTACCTGCTCGAACTTCGATACCCACAGGATGTCTTTATAGCCGAAATAATATCTTGTCAAGTGCTGAATGCAGCGAAAACCGTGTAGTTATTTGCAAAATAGATAACAGTAAGATACAATAACTTGTATTCATGTTGAAAAAAAACCCCACAAATTTCCCAACTAAAACAATAAGATTTCAAAGCTCCGCACAGTTTTGTTAATTCTGGAAAATCTTACAATTAGTTTGACAAACTAGCAACTTTGTCTCACCAATTGGTATTTTATGGAACATTTCCATTTTCATTATCATATGAGTACATGACTTGAAATGTCCTTCTTATCATGAGTTTGTTTTATAACAATACTTATATTGCACGTTTGTTACGTTTATTTATATTGGATAATCGTGTCGAACGTTTACCTCAACTTTATATGAAAATATGCTATTTCAATTGATGGAAGCTGTTTTAAGTATTAGTATTCGTAGAAATGACTTTATGTTAGGGGCCGTTTACATTATATCGTCGCTATTAATAGGATATAGTGACGTTAATATAACTTATATACACGGCTGCTGTCAATTTATGAAGAAATTTTATTTGGTCTTTAATAATGGAAGTTGGCTGTATTATAAAGTCGTTATTAAGCTGCTTGGCATGGTACATGTCTGTACATAAACGGATTTTTGCTTTATAACCATCGCCTAGTGACTTGAGTAAAATATGGAAACAACCACATAACCAATCAAAATCTTTTTAACTGATGATATAAAAAGGTTGCTTGTCATGTATATTTTGCGTAAAGCTCCAATGCTCTATACTGAACAATATACAAACTATCTTTATGCTTAGTAGGCCAAATTGAGTTGGTACAAGTGAATTTGTTAAATATATACAATAAACAAATTTACTTCCTTTAAGTAATGGATGGATCAACTGAGGCAAAAAGTTCTCTAATAAAATTGACTCAATAAAATCTATCACGTGCAAGATCATGGGATTCAAAAAAAATCATTGCAAGCTATGCAAAATGGAACATCATCTCCTGTTAAAATGTAACAATGGGTAACTCTAGTATGTCCAATTATGCATCTAAAATGAACAACTTGATTATGACGGTTAGGGAGAGACAGAGATGGTTGACATCATGAAGTATGTCAAATACAGCTTTGTCCCAACAAGACTTCCATTCAGATTAAATAAGGTTACTTATTAAGACTTTAAAATCACTAGTTAATAACGGTTATACTACTGGTTGAGAATTTAAGGATTCTTTAGCCAATGGCTTTCGCTTCAGCAGTTAAATATAGATGCATTATCAGGCAATCTTAGCTAAGGTGTAGAATGATTTTCAAGGACGACTGCACCTTCTTTGCAAACATTCTTTGAGCCGTCAGTGTAAATGTCGACACTATCTTCATGTTCATCTTTGAATGTAAAAAATACATCAACAAAAAAAAGTGAATTTAACATAACCTTCGATAAAAAAAACAGTTTAGAAAACCTTAAAAAATACACAAAGGATAATGATGACCAGAAGTTTTATATTTATATAAAGAAGTTGTGTATACATCAATATTCTTTCAGGTATAAGTACAACCTCTTCCACTACAGTTGTTACAACCGTAACTGATCCTTATACTTACACATGCCGTGACAAATCTTGGATACTCTACAAAAACAACTGCTACACCACTGTTTTAGAATTAACCAGTTTTCCATACACAAAATGTTCCGATTACGGCATGGCCCTTGCCAGTATAAATAGCGCAGACGAAGAGTATAACATAACAACGCAAATATTACAAAGATATTCATCGGAAAGATATCACGGCCACTATCCTTATTTTTGGATTGGTCTTACATTGCTAACAGGTAAAATGTTCGCTGTCGTATTTGATATACTTGCTTGGTAAATTACTTTGAAAACATATAATGTCCCTTTCGGAGTGGATAATTTTTACAAATGTATAATTCTATAACTACAAGTGGGAAAGAAACATGGGAAATAAATTCAAAGAAAGAGGAAAAGAGAATGTGTGTTTTATTCAAACGATAATAGAAAATAACATGGAATAAATGTGAGACGTCTGCATTCGGGTTTTAAAATGTGAAATGTTATAATTATTAAGATCAGAAATAATAAGTAAGTGTTGTCTTAATCTAAATCTTGTAGTATTTTTCTGGTCCTTCAGATTGTTGTTTGTAGCACTTTTTGTGTTGAAGTGCTAAATTCGGTGCAAGGAGAATGAGAGATGTTGCATATTTCAACAGAATTAATCAAACATGGTCTGCCTTTTTTCACGTATTTATTTAAGTTGTGTTCATTTAACATCGAATGGATCTTCGTTTCCCAGGATTTTGATAATATATACCGGAGTGTTTTATAATTTTAGGGAATGAGCCAGGAGATACGTGGACAGATGGCAGCAAACTTGTTTACTCTAACTTTGACAACGATGACAGAAACAAAAGACAGGGATGTGTGTATATGGTGCTATATACACAACAGTGGCGAGTAGGATCCTGTATGGATAAACATTTTTATATTTGTAAAGGACCTGCAGGTAATATTTTAATGCAAATTTCAAGCTTTTTTTTAGTATAAAAGTCTTGTTAATTTCATTAATAAAAAATATTAATAGAGAATATAGCCAGACTTTGTATACGTACACCTAGTTAAATGATTTGGGACTCTAAGGGGAAACTTACTCTACGGGTTTATATGCAAAGCTAATCAACCATTCAATCAAGCAAAATATCAGCCATTATTTACTTTAGAGGCTTTAAGATTATATACACATAAAATCCCACAATAAAAACTGAATATTTCCACGCCCTTTGTTATTGTGTTTTTTCCTTTAGGTCTTTAATTGAATATTCTAAATGTTTTTCGTACAAGATATTCATTTTTTCTTTCGTAAAATTATCCTATGTATTTCAGATATCGCTATGGTCCCGTCAAGCACAAGTCAAGCAGAAAATTCAACAGTATCGTCGACACTAACAACAACACAGTTTAAATTGCCACACATTCATCGAAGCAGTAAAATGGACCGAGGTTTCTATATATTCATTATAAAATTATTACTTTTGTAAAAGTTATAGATGTAATCAAACGTTTTAATTTTTTCATTTCTTTCAGTGTTATGATTAGAAATTTGTCTGTATCTCACAAATTCAATTAAAAGGGTAAACTTTAAAGCTTACTGTATTTGGAATTTGTAAAGTTAACTGCAAGTCAAGAATGTCCAAAAGTTTCTTTATTTTTTTATAAGAACCTTTTTACAACTTATTTATATGCTTTTCAAATGCAACTGTACAGACATTGTTAGACTGATCAATTCATTTGTGATTTCAGTTGCAGACGACTCTGGTTTAACTGGGGGACAGATCGCTGGCATCATTATAGGTGTTATTGGCCTATTAGTGATCATTGGCAGCGTCGTGTACATCATAAAGTCATGGACGTTCAAGAAACCCCCATACAATTTTGCATCACCATCACTTGGATTTGATAATGCATTGTTTCATAAAAATCAGGAAAATGTTGACATAAATTAAGATGTATTACTTTGAGACGAGCATCAAAGTTAAATGAGGACTATTTAAACTGAGAGAGTGTTAAAATTGAGCGTATTTATGATATAATGAATATAATGAGTGACAGGTCGAGAGAGAAATTAAAGTTTATGTTATATTCAAATAGAATAAAGTCATGTAAATGATTGTATGATAATGATGATAATATCTTATCGTAATAAATTCACCATACACTACAAATTGTTTTCATTGATTTTTAAAATATATTTTAGATAATTTACTTCTAACTTTACTCTATATACTGAGATATTCTGATTTGTAAAGATTGTAAAGAAAATGTAAAAGTATAGTCAGGTAAACAATTGGCCAAGGAGAATCACTTGATATCAGAGGTCAGTTTGATAGTGTATCATAAAATTTATGAAAACAAAATTGCTTTTATGGAAATTCTACAAATATCCTCTTCTTAATTTGCCAAGATATACTTGCTTTAGATAACTCGAATAGTAAAATAACGTAACTATTTGGTAAAGAAACATTATCAACGATACGCTTTTATTAATATGTGTAAAGAATTAAAATTAATATTTAGTCTTAGTACCTTTTTAATATGTTTTTAATCAATGTTGAAAAAATGGTAGAGAAAGACTTTCAATTTCCCCATCCAAAGAATTTGGGTATACATTGTATTGTTTTGTTAATCTTTTCATGAAGATTTTAGAACAGAACAGAACTTTTATTTTCCAGACTTATTCAAAGTACATGTACATCGTCTTGTTAAGATGCAGTGAATACGTATATGCAACATAATCACATAAATATATGTATGGCGAGTGATTATAATAAATATAAACTTAACAAGCACCAAAGTCATAAGAGGATAAACTCAAATTGAGAGTTCAAAATTGAATTTCTTAGTTTTAAAGCTTTTTTAATATATTTACAAACATTTATTAATAGTTTTTTTTATTAATACACAATAATGTAGTAAATTTAAACATATGTGGTCTATTATAATAGTAACTTTTTAGATAATATTTTTGCATATTAAATGATACTTATCCTCTACATCTAACCCATTACAGCACTTACAATATCTTTGTTCACGAGGAATGTTATTAGTGGCATACCTTCCTGTTTGTATTTTGAGAGGATGAACAGATAGTCTTAATCGACAAAATTACATTCTAAAATGTCAAAATAATTTTCGTAACAAAGACACGATTTAAAATGTTTGTAATTACATAAAACAGAACGTCGATCTAGGATGCTGGCCAATTCTTTTTTATACGTGTCAACAACTCTATTTTAAAAAATTTGAAGAAACAATTTTGGATCTCTGTTATAATCACTATCAAAAATCTCAGCAAAACCATAATCACATAACAACATCTTCACATTTGCGACCCAATCTTTACACCCTCCTTTACAACCAATTACACCTTCTCTATACATTGTATTTCAAAAGATATTATCCGATATTTTTCAACTTGCACCAAACTTTAATTATTCAAACATAACGAGTCACATATAATGGACATCTTCCTAATTCACCATAAACAGCAGCGGAACAAATGTTAGTACTTACATTTAATAATCTTTTTCAAAATTTTTAATGAATTCTTTCTATTTCCTTAGAGTTTGTATACCCCTATATTTCAGATCCATATACATAGATAGAGCCAACAAATGCATCAAATAACTGGCATAATAGGTTTGGTTTTAAACCAATTTTCTTACAGTTATAAAATAAAACATTAAGAGCCTTTCATGCTTCCCCTTCTTAATTTCTGATTAAGTGTAAAAAAACCAGTATAGTTCAAAACAGTACCCAAGTAGTTAAAATCATTTACAATATCTAAGATTTGGTCGTCGTAGGTCCAGTGTTCTACGGATAGAAGTCCTCCACGCTTTCTAAAAACCATTACTTCAGTTTTAGTTGTATTTACATTGAGACCCCAAGTATTACAATATGAATATTAAAGATCTAAATTACTCTATAGTTCTATTGGTGACGTGCCAGCGATGGCCATATCATCAGCAAATAATGATAAAATCAAAATAACATCATCAAAGGTCAATCCAGTTTCAATGTTGTCTTGTAAATAAAGTTCCAAATCCTCAACAAAGAGAGAAAATAAAATTGGAGAAATAACCTAACCTTGACGTAGGCCAATGGCATAATTGAAATAATCTGAATAACTAGAACATGACTTAACACATTATTTTACATGTTGGTACATATCTCTAGTTATTATTAACATTTTACCTTGGATACCTATACATTTTGATGAGTAAATACTATCAAAACATGCATCATATCAACAAAAACTACATATACTAGTAAATGTTTATTTTGATTTAAATATTTTTTATTTTTGGATAACAGACAAAAGAATAGAATAGCATCCACTGTAGAACGCCCTTTTCGAAAACCAAATTAAGCATCAGACATAATATTGTTACTTTCACAAAAAGTTTCAATTCTATTATTAAGTACAGTGGTAATTAGTTTTGAAAGACAGCTTATTAATGTTATGCCTCTGTAGTTGTTTACATCATCAGTACGATCCTTTTTATGCAAAGGTATAATAATTACCTCTGTCCATTTCTCTTGATACAAACACAAATTTAAAATAGCATTAAATGAAACACACAAATGCGCACCAATTATATCAAAACCTTCTATGAAATATTCCTTCATTAAATAATCACTACCTAAAGGTCTACCTCTTTTAAAGAATTTAACAGCTTTTGAAATTTCCTCTAAAGTTATTGGTTTATCTAATTCTTCATATGGAGTATTCAAATCATTTAAAGATTGGCTATCACAAAACATTTCAGCATCAATATTGGTACAATTAAATAAAACGCTACTTCTGCTCTCAAAATATTCCTGAAATACATGTACAGGGAGCTTGCGAAAGAACAGAGAACATATTTAATCAGTTACTACCAAATACTTTACTCCAAAACAATTTAACATCTTACAAATATCAATTTCAATGGGGCAAAGCACCTGCAACTCCTTATACAGAAGGATACGACATTTTGATTTTAAGTATATAATTATAAAAAATCTTTATATTGCATTTTAGAAATAATAGAATTAATTTCATATCCCAACATGCAAAAGTATTGGCCTATCAAACTGAGACTGCAATATTTTGTCGTTTACGCATTCTTTAGGGATTTCGTTTATCTCTTTTTTTGCCCCCGGGCATATAGTAATTTAACCTTCCGTCCGTCTGTCCGTACGGTGTTAACTTAAAACGACAAGTTGGATTTTTCTTATGTTCTACGTAAGGGGTCTCTAGATTTAAGGTCAAGGTCAATGGTGTAAAAAATACAAATATTTTTGCTCATACAGCTTTTATGTTTATGTTGATGTCATTCTTGTTAAATACAAAATGCTAAGGGAGGTCCTCTCACTTTGGAATAATTAAACGTCAATTGGGTCAGTCACAAATGTCAAAATTAGATTTTTATACTTTTACAGGTGTAATTATATCAATTCTTCTATTGACAGATGTCGCTTATATTTGATAAGGACGTAAAATTGGGATTTTCCTTCAGGTCGAGTTAGGGATAGGTTGGGTCAAGGTCACCAGTGCTAAAAATAGATTTTTTACACTTTTGCTCATACAGAATTTATTTATTGATAGACGTTTTTCATATTTGGAAGGAAGATAACTTACATGATAGTCTTCCTTCATATTGAAAAAGGGGTCAGTGGATCAAGGTCAACAGTGAAAACCGTATATTGTTACACTTTTGCCGAGATTACCAATATATATTGACCGATGTATTTCATATTTGGTAGAAAAATAACTTACATGGTATTCTCTTCCTTTGGATTGAGGTAGGAGTCAGTGGGTAAAAGTCAAGGATGCCAAAAATAGATTTCTACACATTTCCTTGAACAGCCTTCATATTTTGACTGAATCAGATGGGTCTTTATAATTGGTAGGATGGTAACTTGCATGGCCTTTTTACCTTTAGATTGAGTTTAGGGTTAATTGGGTCAAGGTCACCTTTGCTTAAAATAAAAAAATTCACGTTTGCCCATATAGCCTTTATCAATGGACAGCTGTCTTTATTATTTGGTTGGAAGATAATTTGCATGTTATTCTTTCTTGTAATTGAGTTAAGGTTTAGTGGGTTTAGGTCAAGAATGTCAAAATTTGATTTGTACACATTTGCTGAAACAGCCTTTTCTTTTGACTGATACTTTTCATATTTGAAAGGATTAAAACTTGCATCCTTGGATTGGGTTACGCGTCAGTTGGATAAAAGTCACCAGTGCTAAATGTAAACTCTTACACAATGACACAATTTTTTACACTTATATACAGCTTTTTGTATTTTTTATCAATGTCTCATGTTTACAAGGAACATACCTAAGGTGGTCCTTTAATTTCGGATAGAGTTTGGGGCCGCTGTATTCTAGGTAAAGTCTTGCATTTATATAAATTTGATAAAGTTGAATAATTTTCAACCTCAAGGTCATAGCAAAGACTTGCCAACTTAGATTTTTCACAATTACAAAACTCATTGATTCTGTCAAGTTATATAATTGTGTTTACAATTTTCCGTCCTTAAATGAATGAATGGGTATAATTTGTTTTGAATTATTGTTACTAACAAAAATCTGAGCCGGGGGCATTTGTGTTTAACAAACACGTTCTTGTTTAACAGTACAATCAAATAACTAACTGA